TGAAAGTTTCCCTAGAAATAAGATGTTTTAATAGGCCATGACATATTATTTCTAGGTAATATAAAACTACGCTTAAAATTATGTGACCTAACCATTACAGTAGGTTACTCCAAGTCAGAAAACTGGAACAGAAACTTATTCTGCATTTAGGTGTTCAATGACCTATGTACAAGTATTCTCTAAATGATGAAATGAACATAGACAGGTCTTTATTTAGCAAAAATGTCCACTCAAATAGGTAAAGATAAGTAGGCTGCACAAAAGTGCCTAAGCCAGAAAAACAAGGGATTTCTGCCAAAATGAGCTGTTAAAGCTTAATAGCCAAGACTGAAGAGGCTTTATCCTAAGGAGAAACCACTGTGCACATTAGATTGTTCCCAGACTTTCTGCCATAAGTAAACTGCAATCATTCATGTTCTCCACAGTTTAGTTAACCTGTACGCTCATTTTCAGGTTTCAGATTGCCGTCAGTCTAAGCATGGAACGTTACGCTTTGATGTTTGGCTTCAACAATTTTGTTGCACTGGTGATCCAGACAATTTTAACTGTTGTTGTAGTAGATTCAAAAGGTCTGGGACTAGATATCAGCACCCAGGTAAGCTCCATTATCCACACTGCTCTCAATTCCCCTACTCCTCCGAAAGAGGGTTCTACTCCAATGTCAGCTTTTGGGAAGCTATTAGGCAATGGGCTGGCTTAGAGCAGTTACTCACTTGCAACAGGTTCATTTAAAGTGAACTGGCAGTAGCTACTACAACCTACTTGTCCTCTACTCCTGCCAATTTCACATTTCTGCAATAATTTTAAGAACATTTTCATGGAGCAGAAGGGAAAGACCACTACCTATTACTCAGGGTTGTTTGTTGGTTTTTCTTATTATTATTTAAAGGCTTACTATTAATAAGTTTATTGTCAAAATAAACTGAAGCAGGAAGCAAGCTGAAAGGCAATCTATGGGTCTATTCATAGGGTAATTCTAAGTTGCGTAGTTTCATTGGAAACATCATTAAGTTACTGTAACTCTGAAAATTAACTAATCTCATGATTCCCCATTAAATTTCAAGCTTAAACTTACATATTGAATGAAGTCCACATCTAATGACTAGCTTTCATTTTTCAGAGAAGAGCCAGAAAGTGCAGGGCAGCTCTCCTCCTCCCTTAGTGAGGTGGGGAAAGGAAGCACATAACAGAGTATTCTCTTCCCCTCCTTTTACAACCGCAGACTTACTACAGTGTGAAGGCCAAGCAGCCAGACTATTTGAATCTGTTCAAGATGGGATCATTTTGGGGCATGGGTGACAGGGAAGGGAAGGTGGCAGTGGAGGAACACCCCTTAAGTTATTACTTAACAGCCAAAGCAGTTTTTGACTCTCCCTCATCCTTCTTCCCCACCTCCATTTCCCAGTTTCTGATTTATGGCAGCTACTTTACATTCATAGCCGGAATTTTCCTCATCAGAAGTATATACATCATTATCTCCATCAAATGCAGACATACAAGTGTGGTTGGTGAAAGCACTGATCATTAACAAAGGAGAGAAAAAGAATGGCTGCAAGCAACAGTGCAGAAGGCTGCATCATTTGAACAATTAATTAGGAGAAACAATGCTCAATCAAGCAAGAATGGTCAGTGGTGAAACAGGCTGCTCATAAGCCTACAGCATAAATGGCTTTGTCAACAGGATGACGCCTTTTGCCTGTTTTCTTCACCAGTAGTTCTAATACCAAACAATCCTCAATCTTCTGTTGCAACTCAAATTTAATGACCTGACATCAAAACTTCTATTAATGCTCAATAAGCACAACAAGCAACTGCATACAGATGCCCAAACCACACAACAAACGAACTAATAGAACACAACCTTTGAACCTTCACTTCTACTGAGTATTACAATTAAAGGCAATTTAGTCATAGGTGTAAGACCTTCAAACATTCCCAGGGAATCTAAAGAAGCAGTTGCCCCATAGCAGCAGGGTGATCTGTTGGAAAGTGTGCCACAGAAACCATTTGAAAACTTAAGACTTTTACAGCTGGAAGTTGTGATATGCATTTTTAAAGCAAGTTAACAAATAGCAATAAACCGTTTTTTTTCCAAAAGACACTACTTCTATATGTTCAAAGGTGGATTACTATGATGCTATATAGCATAGCCATACTGCCACTCCAGTATACAAATGGCCAAACACAGTGGATTTTGGATTCCATACAGACAATGCAATCCACAGAAATCTGAAGTTACAGGACTGTAAGGAAAACATGTCCTTATATACAGATAAACTGCTTCTGATGCAGTGACAGCTTTACCATGAATTCGTTGAAGATGTACGAATACAACACACTAGCCTTCGCTTTGAGTGTCTGTCTTGATAAGCCTATGCATTACATCCGACACCTGCTATGATCCACACACACTTATCAAAAAAGCCTCCTGAACTAACTTATTTTTAAGCAGTAGGGAGATGCTTCAATTTCTACACAAGGCAGTCTTAAACACCACCACTTAAAGTTTAGATATAACTGAAGCTAATTAGGGAATGTTCTTTCCACTGCATTCAATAATGTCCACTTTGGAGTAAACTGTATCAGACAGCAGCAAACTCCATTGTGTTCCTTTACCACAACTTACAGATCTGTCAAGAATCAGAAGTAACTAATGGTTCTTCCAGTTCAGCTCACAAGAAAGTAAAAGTCATTAATTCCTTTAAAAACATACTTTTAAAAGCTGCTTGAGCTTGCCTTGATGCCCCAGTAAGCCTTCCCTTCAAGAGAGCAGAACACTTGCAGAACACTTGCATCATATTTCTTCCCTTCAAGAGAGCAGAACACTTGCATCATATTTATAGTTCTTTTTCCAGGAATTCCAACTGAATTTCATCCTTTTCAAATTAATTTCTTGCCATTTGTTTCAACGCAGTGCTTGGGAGTTTGCAGCCATTAAATAACTGAACTGCAGAAACTGGGCATCACATCTGCCTTGTAGAACTCAGTATGTACACCTCTTACAGCATCTTCTTACACACACAAGAGCTGACATATTAGGAGTAAAAGTAATAACCTAGAAAAGTCCCCAAATTAATTTCTGTATGAGCAGGCTAAAGTTAAAGTGAAGCGCTTTAATGCTAAAGCAGAAAAGGCTACTGAAACGCTAGTGGAAGTATAGCTTTTTGGCAGCTATGCTAGTTGCATGAGGAATTGCATTAACAACTGCAGAGATTTCTAAGACAAAACGTTCATAATCATGGGTGAATAATTCATTTTGTAAATATAGCTATTTTAAAAATCTAAACAACAAAACAGGTATAGTGTCAGTTTCTGCTCAATATAAAGGAGACTCAAAACAAACTTCAGCTACTTGTCTGGAGTTTGACAAATTGGTGAATATACACTAAACAGATGTACTTATACATAGCAAAAGTTGCCAACTTTTTATCTGCATTCAAGCTAGTTACGAAAAATAAGATATTCCACTATTTCTGCAGTATAATCCAAAACTACACGCCTTGCACACTTTACTGCTAAGAGATACTGAAATGCATTTATCGACTTCGTTTGGATCAGAACAACAATTTTAAAACATGCTGATCTCATTAGCCCTTGCCCAAAGTTTAATATACATCAATTTAGGTGAAGAGAGGACAGGATTGTTCCCCTTCCACAAGGCTGCTCATCTCATTGATGAGGTATTAGGTTGATTTGGTCCTGTTCCCTGCAATAAGCATATTTAAGTATTCCACAAGGCCTCTGAACCCCTACAGTTCCCCACTCTCTACTGCATTTATGTGTTACTATCCCCAAAATAGGTAATATCAACAAGGAAGAACTACAGCTATTTATACTATGCTAAAACCAGTAGTGAGAGCAAGGGCATCACTAAGATCCTGGAAACCTTCAATTGCTGGGGATTCATTTAGTGAATTTCCCAGAGAATCCTGGGAATTAAACTATACCCCATACTCTATCCAGCCATCTTCATAAAAAAAAAAACAGACAAAATGCAGAAATTACTACCCCCCCCCGTCATAGGCAGGCAACGGAAATGAAAAGCACTGGCATAAGAGTGTTTTTACAAGCAGTGGTCAAGTCTTTCAGCTTCCCTAGAAATAAGCAGATCTAACATTCAGGCAGTCAATTATTAGTGAATGTCTTACCTTCAAGAATTTTCACATTTGTCTCAAATGGGCTTGCACATTCTTTTCTCAAAAATCAATCTGATCTTATTTATTCCTGTTATCTTGAAAGCTGTTAGAATTTTATTCTCCAGCTGGTCAGAAACCTTTTTTTAAGCTTGTAGTTTATGCATTATGATATATTTACATCATTTGCTTAGTTCCAGTATTACATTTGAACTTAAGCCAAGTTACCTCTGTGTTTAAAACACCATCACCAACTACTCTGATGCAGTTATATTTTTCTTGAACCTTCTTACTATTACAGACTAGTCAAGCCAGACATTGTCCCCCCACCCCTCCCCAAATTCCATTCTAGTATGGTAGGAAACATTCCAGTAAAAAACAAATCCATTAATTTAATATTCCACAGGAGGTCTTACCAATATATCAATTTTTAATAAAAAGAGTGCCATTACATCTGTGGTACCTTGGCCTGCTATTACACATACTGTTCTGATCACAACTAAATCTTGTTCAAAGACTGTCATTAGCTACCCCTAATTACACATCTTTTGCAGGTAACCATTTCTTAAGTAACTACCCTCCTCAGTGCTTCCAGTGTCCTTCATTACACAGCTATTCTGTCAAAATAATCCAAGTTCACTTAACATTTTCTTGTTCAATAGGTCACCTCCCTTGAGCTGAAACAGCAAGCTTAATCACAAAGACACAATGAAACATATTCAAATGAGTCATGAGAAAGTCTGAAGCTTAACTTGCCTTTAAGCATATTGCTTTTGATAACTCACCTGTTATCTCAAAACTAAGACTCAAAAACATGTACATTTTAACCAAATAAGATATTACTGCACAGAAATAATGCTACACAATTGTTTTTTCTAATATTTATTATTTTTCACCTGCAAACTGTAGCAAAACATGATCAGCTTTATTATGCAGACAGGTATCCCTCTAACATTAGAGATTTAGGCATGTATAAATAGAAGAGCTCTTAGGAAAGGAAAACATTTTGAGAAATGAACAAACCTTCAATTTAACTTCATGACTTCCAATACCAATGGTTAAAATGATGTTGCTCATTCATTCCAAGAGATACAACAGCACCTTAAAGTGGCTGATCTATTTCCCAGTAACATTTTTTTCACATAACAATGTGTTAAAGTTACAAATACTGATATGCACAAATAGCTATTTTCTAAGAAAAATATGTACAGTACTGCAGCATAATGAATGTGGTATCTGCAATAACTTATTAGCCAATTTTAATATACATGATACCGCTACTTTTTACCTGCCAGTTCACAGGTTCAAGGATGTTACCACAGCCCTCTTGTTTTGCACGTTATTACCTCGTGGGGGGGTTGGTTTTCTTGGGTTTTGTGTATTTTTTAATTTTATTTTTTTTTTAAGGTACACAATGCAGGCTTTTATTTTTACTTCTTAAAGACTTCTTTTGTGTTTAAAGCTAATATCAGTGAAACAAGACAACAGTGCAAGAGGCGCAGAGATGTTATGTGACCACATAAGAGTTCTTTTGGGTAAAGTGTCTATAAGGCTATAAGAAAGGATTGGTTGATGAGCTTCCTGTTGGAAATTGTCCTGTTGGTGCACCAGCCTGAGGGAAAATGAAAAAAGAAAACTAAGACAAATATTTAAGATTTTTTTCCATATTGTAAATCATAAATGCAGGATACTTAAAGAAAAGAACCTATTAGGAAATATTTCTGGTTTATGTTGCAGTCTTTTTTAATTTGGTGGTTCTCTGAAATTACACTACTGTAAGAGCATGGTATGCAAGTACTGCTGTTTTGACATGAACAGCCTTACAAATGTCATGCCATTGTAATAATGAATTGCATTTAGGAGAGTCACATGCTGCCTTCACTTATTTGAAGCAAAAAAAACCCCACACACCTTTGTGTCTTTAAATTAAGTGTTACAGATTATGACTCTTCAGACAGAGAAGTTATTAATATCATGCAACAACTCACTCACCATAAAAGGGTTACTAGATACTCCAACAGCTGCAACTTGTCCAAAAGGAGTTACTACAGGCTTTGCCTGTCCAAATGCAGCAAAACCTGCTCCTTGGAAAGATAAGTGAAAAGTATTAATAGTAGTAACCAACCTTCAAAGAATTCTTTACTGCAGATCCCACACAAACATAAGCGGAAGCTTCAACTGCACCATCAGGAAGATTGATCTTACTTAAATACTATCAGGAATGTAAGTGGAAAAAGAAAAAGAATATGGCTGGGCTTTTTGTTTGTTTTATTTTCAACTGTTTGGAACTAATCAGTTTCCAGTTTCTACATATGCACTTTTTTCAATGTTATTTTATCATTTAAGTTTAGAGAGAAAGTACTTTCCGATTTTTTCTTGCCTGCATTCTATGAAGTTAGAGAAAGTGTTCTAATCTGTTGCAGACAGTCCAAAAATGAAGACAAAACAATCCTTCTTGCATAAAAACCATTTAAGACTAGGAATATTTATATTTTAAGTATCTTATTATGACAAAATTTCAGTTATGTCACCGCACACAACCAAGTCAGAAAAGCTTAACTACACAGCCAAAACAGAATGTGGGAGCCCCTCATCAGTATTATCAAGTTCATATAAAAATAAATACACACCCATTATTGCTAACTTACAGAGAGATAATTTTCTCCATGTTTCCGATTTAAACAAGGTTATCTAAAACATATAGACCTACCATTTGGCTGCTGAGCAAAAGCAGTCTGTTGAGGGAAAGCTGCCTGGGTCGGGAACGTGGGCTGCTGGAAGTTGCCACTAAAACTAATAGGAAGACTGTAGGAGGCAGGAGTTCCAAATCCCGCGGGCATGCTAATGGATGCAGTACCAAATGTTGCTGCTGGTAGGCAAAAAACAACATTAAATTATTGGTAAGAAATCACTTTTTTCCATGAGACAAATTACTATAATGCCACATTAAGAAGAGTCTCCTAATGCCTCAGTGACCATACAAAAGTTAAGTTCAACTTCTACAGCCACTGAACCGATTTGTTAGCTTGGATCACCACCAACTAGATGCATAATTTACTTCTGCACTTTAAAAATGAATGGAATCATTTAAAATTTACTAGATCCAGCACATTCAGGTGTACTTTCTGAAGAAGAAATTATTTTTTATGTTCTCTATGTTACCATATACTTCCCCCAGAGTTTTTCCTGGTAAAAGTAGGTACATATCAGAAGCAAGCACTTTCAGGCAGCATAAGCCCCTCTGTTTTTCTCTTTTTAGTAAAGAATGAAAGGATCTTCCTACTTCAAGCTGCATTACAGGAAGTTACAAGTCAAAAAAAAAAAATCATAAGGGATACATGCATTCCCTCTCTCTTTATCCCATCCTTAATGTCACTTGAAAGGAAATTTTCACCATGCACATTATTTGCACACAAAGTTCCTACAGCATATGCTCTTACTGTTGAGGTAAGACTTAAAAAAACAAACAAACAAACTTTTCATCTGATTCTCTGCTGACCCTTTCAAATAAATAACATACAGCTCATACGGTACTCCGCATGCCTTCAACAAATATACAGCACATCAAGTGCAAATATGTAGTAACAAAACCATTATTCAGTCTTTTGGGAGTTATTCTTGAAAGGACAAGGGTATAGAAGGTTTTTTTTGGTACAAATACAGACACCGAGCATTTTATTCTAGTTGAACCTTAGACAGGATTTTTCTTTTGAAAAGTTACATGTTAGATTTTATGCAAGCTCAACTGTTTAAAAAAAAATAATATATTTAATGAATATAGCTTAATTACCAGTTGAAAAAAAATTACCCCAAAAGTATTCAAGGGCAAGACATTATACATACATAAAATGCTGACAAAGTACACGCAAAACTAATGTACTAACATTCTTCCCAAGTTACAGATAGCAGAGAAGCTATTCAACAGGAAAACTTGCTAAAACAGCAAACAAAAGCACAACAAAATGAGTAGTGACTTGGGATATCCCAAAAGGCATCAAGCTACTGCTGGTAGAAACTTCAAGAGTCACTCAACTTGTTAGCATTACATTGTGACCATGGAGGATATCAATAATGGTTTTGTTTTAGTTTAATAGTTTAGCTTAATAGGTTGCCTACGTATGCTCTTCTCTCCCTTTGCCCACACCCGCTCCTTTTTAAAGGCACAGAAAGTCTTCTGAAATTCTACGTGCAGAGAACCAGATAGCTATCAATAAGCTTTTACAAGCAAGAACAATTAGCCACAAGAAACTCGATACCAAATGTGGCCACCTACCAAAATGAGCCTGAGGAAATATGTGAGAGTGCATTGCTCCCGAGAGGCCTTATGGAAGCCACAAAGAGACCAGACAATGTCAGATCATTTATACACTCTTGAAAAGTCATTTCTTAGTTATATATATAAAAGTATACACAGGTATATGTACTGAACATTTTTTCCATCGCATGACCAGCAAACAGATTAAGATAAGAAAACCATTCAAAATAAATGCTACAAAACAGATCTCCCATGTAATAAATAGCAAAGTTCATGCAGAAAGCAAGCTCAGCATAAAAGGACAAGCTACAAGTTTACACCTTACACAGAAAGGGGTAGAATATTATCTTTACTTATAGTCATCATCTCTGCTATCCAGCACATAATATCAGTATAGCTGCCAAAGGGTTAGAACCTCTGCAAGCCAAGGATAGCAGTTTAGAAGGTGAAAGGACAGAGTTGCTATATTCAAAGAAATTTATCTAAAGAGGCTACAAGTTCTTAACGATGATCCAAAACAGCACCATTAGGAATGACACTAAAATAAGGAAAGATATTTTGGGCATTAAACAGCTGAATAAGTTTGACTGCATAATGTATCAAAAGGGACTGAAAACAGAATTCATTTTAGCACAGGACATGAATTTGATCAATTCAGTTTTAACTCAGCCTGATCAGTTTAATTAAATCTACCTAAAACTCAATGTTAAAATGCATACATCAGCAGATTGAAGTCTGTGGAAGTTGAGTTAATAGGTATAAGTGCCAAAGTTTAGCAGTGCCTTTGGAGAGGAAAATTAGCATAATCTAAGAGTCATCTAAATCCCAGTTCGGTGTTTTAAAGAAAAGTATAAGTTTGCTTTTTTAAAAAGTTATTAAGTTCTTGTCTATGGAATTGTGATTCTACAGAATCCTCCCCCAGAAAATTAATGTAAATCATGAATGTAAAGATTATATTTAAACATATGTTTTACTGTTACAAAGAAAAAAAGGACACCACCAATGTACTGAATAAGTGGTCTGGTGAGGATTTAACAGCCCAAAAGCCTGGTTCTAGCCCCAGCTCTTTGGTTTTGAGGGCTTTTCAGGACTTTGAAATAAAGAAATAAGGAAAAAAAAAAAAGCTTATCAGGGATCTTGAAAGCCCTGCTGCTTCCAGGGCAACCTGCAATGAAGTATGCTTGAAAGCCAAGGTTATATGGCCTTGGAAGGTACCCAACTGGTAATACACAGACTATAAATAGCTTAGGTAGGATTAGAAGATCTTAAACAGATCATTTTGAATTTTTTCATGGCCACCATTTGAAATCCTAGGATTGGGCCAGAAACAGGAGGCTAATGTCCTCAGCCCAATAAAAACCATCACTTATCTCAAAAAAGAAGTTAAAATTGATTTCCGCAGCCTATTCATAAATATTGTACTTCACATTGAACATACACACACATCAAATAGACTAGAGACAGATAATACAGAAAACTGTTAAGGAACAAATTACACATGATGAAAAAAAGAATCAATGCAAGTCTTGAAAGAAAGTTTCTCAGACGCTGAAGGTTTTTTTCCTAACCTGTTGCTCCTCGGCTATTGGTCTGGAATGGATTTGTTGAAGGTGCCACTGGGGCAACAGGGGCAGCTACAAATGGATTTGTGGAAGGTGTTGCTGAAAAATTAGAAATATTTTATTTAATAAGTCTTTTAAAAATAGCCAATCTGACTCACAATAAGTTTATATAGCTTTTATACAGATACATAAATATCTAAAATAACATGTTAAATTAAGAATTGGTAATAAAATGCTTAATTTGAAATGCATCACAACAACAGTACTTTTTTTGAATCCTTTAGTAACTTTAGTGTCAACGTATAGCACTATCAACTAAAAATGAGTAAGATGTTTGCTTTCAGTCCACAAAAGGTGTTAGTGACAGTTATATACCTCCAAAGGGAGCAGGCACACTCGAAGATGCAGGCTGTGTCTGTGCAGTAGCAGCCACGGGTACTGTTCCAAAAGCATTGCTGAAAATAATTCATACATTCAGTGAGGTCAGAGTTGCTTGTTTAACAACTAAATACAACTTACAATTATTGTTGGCATGTAAAAGAATAGAAAAGGAATGCTTACGTGCAGTTTGCAAACTGCAATATAATTCACTGATGCCAGGAATTGAGCCCCTGATGCCAGGGTCAGAGACTATAACTAGTGCTGAGCAACGAAAAGTCCTCTCCAGCAACAGCAGGAGAAAGAATATTGAACAAAGGCCATCAGCATAAAGGCTGCAAAGCAGAAGCTTTAGGGGCACTTGCAATACCAAGCAGAGCTAAAAGGCATGTGGTATTTATTACTTTAATGAGCTAAAGAAGTGGTTCGCACCAGTTATATTATAAATATCTGAATAATGTTTTTTGCCATAGATGATCCTATGGTTTTCCGTATGCATGCAATATTCTGTACAGAAAAGTGTTACCATTTAACAGGTTTCACATGTGATGACTAGAAAGGTGCAGAGAACATTCTGCTGACAGAAAGTATTTATCTTATCCTATCAGACAGTATTGCTATTATTTAAAACAAAGGATGCAGTTTCAGTAGTATCTTTAAACTCATTCAACATTTCCCCATTTAGATAAGAAAGAAAACCAGATTTGAGAAATAACTTTGAGCTACTTTTCTGCATATTGCTGATGTCAATGTAGAAAGTCAGCTACTTCTAACAAAGTACCTGCTAACATTACTGGTGGAAGTATACGCGTTACTAGAGGTCGCTGTGGAGCTGAACACGCTGTCTAATTCTGCTAGAGCCGCATACTTGTCTGAAGATGCACTTGACTGATTTGAGGCCGACAAAGCAGGACCCGCTGATGCTGACACTACTGTACTGAAGCCACTTCCTTGCTCACTACCACCTAGAAAGAAACCAGATTAAAAGTGATGAAGACAGTTTCACTTTCTGCCCTTCCAATACCAAGAACTAAATGAAAGTTCATGGACAGATGAAGTTTCCGACTTCAAAATTAAATATGCACTAGGGCATACAGGAAAAATGTTTAACAAGCCATTATCTATTAGCAAAGTGTCCTGCTTCTACAGATATTCTGCAGCTCCTGGTTTCCTGGACTCAATACTTCCATCACTTTCAACTAGAAAATTTAACAAAACACGTATCTGCAAAGTATCCATTTCAGAACACAGCTCTGCATTGCAAACCAACACAAATTTTTATACATCATTTGAGAAGAAAAAGTTACAGAATAACTTTTTTTTCTCCTTAACTTAAAATAAACAGAATCCAAGTATCACCGCTACTAGTTTGTAAAACCCAAAGCCAAATCTCTCTGTGGCAGAGAGGCAGGAAAGCTCCTCTGGCAGTTCTCTGCAACAACTGTAGCTCTCAATTCAAGAGCCTTCACTATAAGTTTTAGCACAAATATAAAAGATATATTTACATTTTTATATGTTTTCATCATCGCCGTAATAATTATTTAGATATTTCCACCTAAGAGTTATTCATCTTGATAGCAAGTAGGTTCCCAAAAAGATGTCCTTCTGGTGACATCCTTTTGGAGTGATGTTAGTCTTAAAACACATTAAAGGTACACTGATATGAAATTCTACCCGTAACTTAGAGAAAGGACATTTTGAAATACAGTTATTATTTTGACCTGCATAGTCATCCTCGTGGTAAGCTACACATGTAGAATAAGCATGTCAAAGAATAAAGTTAAATACCTTGCCCTGCACTGAAGATATTATCTAAATTAGCAAGAGCTGCATATTTGTCAGCTGACTGGAGATTCGCTTTATTCACTGCAGCTTTACCGGCTGCAGTTGCTGTTGCGTTGCTCTGAGAAGCATTGAAGGCTCCAAAATCAGCACTGGAGGATTTGGGGAAGTTATCAAAGTGAGCAAAGTTAGCATTCACTGATCCAGCACTTCCACCTGTAACAAATTAAGTTAAACATAATCAACACTCCAAAGGTAGAGAAAGTCTCTTGAGCTGCAGCTGATGGCACAATAATCCCCTTTTGTGGTTACATGAGGCAACGTGTTCCCCCTGTGCCATACCACATGTTTAAGACCCTTTCCCATTTCCTTCAAAGTTATATGGGGTCATCAGAAAAAATAATTTTTATATTTTTCAGTCTCCAGATCAGGGACAAAAAACCCCAAGCTTCAACAGCTTAAATCACAGTCAATTTGATCTTGAAAAACTTTATGCTATTTATGAGCTGTTAAAGTAATTTCAACAGTAATATTCTGCTAGAAAAATAAGTATTTGAGTCTTTAATATTCAAGATACAGAAGCCTCATTTTCCTGTCATATGTGTCTAATGAAAAGCTACTATTTGCATTTACTTAATGGTACAACTTTTAACCATTTCAGGTGTCAGTCATTGTTCTAAGCAAAAAACAGTGCCTAGAATTCCAAGAGTTCCGTGCCAAGGTTTAGAGACAGTTTCGTTCTCTGTTCTCATATTTTTAGACTACATCCAGTCAGGTAAGAGGTGAGGGGGAAGGCACAACACAGCTTTTTTCATATGAAGTCTCCACTGATGTTAGAGATACATAAATCAATTTTAAAAATCTGAGTTAGATCCACGCAACTGAACTTCAGTTCAAATATGAAACCACGAGCTTCCATCTCTTCAGAGTCCAGACAATTTAATCTAGGCAGGTCACATACTTAAGTTTAAATGACTTGTTCCATTAAGTGCATCACATTTGGTACCAGTTGGTTGAGGATTCCACTTATACTACAGAACACACAACTTTCTAGTCACATAATAAAGAAGTTAAAACATATGCAACAGTAGAAATGAAAATGCTATACTACAATGGCACAAAATGAAGCAAGCTGAGTTTTCCACTGTGTGGAACTTACTGTGTACAGCCTGGAGAGGAAAAGCTGAAGTAAATTCACCAAAACTGCAGCTAGATGAAAGCGTTCTGAACGCTGGACAGCCAGAAATTGTGTGGGGGTTAAAGTTAACATAAGAAGGGAGAAAGAAAATTTGAAAAAAAGTTTAAAACGACACGACACTCAAAAGAAAAACAAAAAAGGAAAAGAAAGTCAGTCAGCCAAAGATCTAGACAAACAGCAAGTGTAAGCTCAAGCAGAAGTTCTAAAGCATAATCAAATTAAAGGAAAGCAAAATAAATCTTAACAATAGGCTCTACACATGAAGTCAAGCATACTGAAGTGTGTGCATATGTTATACATACACATAGACACACACTTTTTTGGTACAGTTATGTGCTTTTGGGTCTACTGAAACACTTCTCTTACAAAATAAAGAGTCAATTCAATATTTATCAAAAGCAGTATGGTTTACTCTTGTCATAGTTATTTCAAGTGTAGAGCTAACGAACACATAGTGCCATAAATAAGACTTCTGAGTAGCATTAGGAAAAAAAAAAAAAAAGAAAATCAACACCAAACAGAAGGAATTCATTTTGAGTTTCCCCAGAGCTTCAGATGGCTTGATCGCATTAAAGCAGGCAGATGCAAGAAATAAACTCAACTTAAGTACCTTCCAACATAAAGGTAAGGATTATTTCAATTAAGTATTAATCAAAAGTGCTAGGAGTTCTACCTGTATTTTGGGGCTGAAAAGAAGACTGACTTGCTGTGGGGAAACCTCCAAAATTACTCGAGCCAATAGACTGTCCAAATGCATCAAAGTTTGCAAAACCTGCATTTGCAGAGTTCTGCGCTGTAAATTGCAAAGGAACAAAACATGTTAATGGATATGGGAAATAAATACAAAACAGATGTATTAACTGAATTCATGGTCATGACAGCCTTCCAGGGTTATATCCTACCTTGTCATTTCTTTCTACGCGAAAAAGTTATACATGATATTCTACAACTGAACTGAAAGTTGTCTTTGAACAAGCTTTCATGAATCACCTTCACAGAGCTGTACTAGTTAACGGTACTTCCCTCCTCCTCACAGATGCGACTACTCACAACTGCATGACCAGATGAAGTCCAGTTCAGCTTAACCCTAGAGTGTTTGCAGTGGTGCCTGGTCAAGGAAAGACAGCCAAAAAGTACAGAATACAGATGTATACTTGTAGAACCCAAACCAGGCATCATTCTAAATGCTAATTTCCAAAACTAGAATTTGTGGACTAACTGAACATTTCTTTGGGAATAAAAATTAGAAAGTATTTTGTAACATACTGATAATTTGAATTCCTCACATACAAAATACTTCTTCCTTGAGTGAACGTAGTCTGGCACTACTTGAATAGTTTTGGCTGTGTTTATAAATTCATTTCACTGGAAAATTCAGTTTTTAAAAAACTAAATCAAGAGTACAGAAATATGGAAAATCAATACCAATGTCAAGAAGATAGCATTCAGAGTGTATCCACAAAATAAAATCCAAGGAAATTTCAAATAGAATTTCAGTTTTCACCTTCCTTTCGTGCCATACTATAGGAGAAAATAAAAATTAACACCCATCTAATTTCAAAGAGCTGGACATTCAAGCATCTATAGATTCAACAGGAATTATGCACCTAACTGATAAACTCCACAAATTCTTAAACACTGTTACAAGCAAGCAGTGAGGGGAATAAAGTGTTTTCAATTAAATGCAAAATAAACCCATATATATAGGTAACTTGACTTACTATCTAAAGAAAGCTCACAAAACACCTTCTAGAATAACAGATGCAATACATTATATTTTTGGATCAGGATTTGTTTATTCTGGAGGGATTTTGCAGGTTAAGTATACACAAAACCAATAAATTATGCTGATTGTTTAAATACTGTTACTTAATAGCCAGAAAACGCTAATAAAAAGTTGCATTATTTCACTTAATTTCTATTTTAAAAGCATCTGTACTACAGATTTATAAACTAAAAGGACATTTTTATACAAACATGGTATGCCACAATGCTACTAATATAAATGAAAGTGCAAGAATTTCCCTTCACGAGGGATGCTGGGAGAGAGGGTGAGGTTTGACTCTACTTGAATACCACTTTATTAGAAGTGTGCATGCATATTGAGTTTATGTGGCATGATTTTGGTAGCAGGGGGGCTGCAGGGGTGACCCCTGTGAGAAGAGATCAGAAGCTGCCCCCATTTCTGACACCCAGTTTCAGCTGGCTCCAAAGCTGACCTGCTGCTGCCCAAAGCTGAGCCCATCAGCAATGCTGGTGGCACCTCTGTGGTAACATATTTAAGGAATGGTAAAAAGCACTGTGCAGCAGCTATGTGAGAGAGGAGTGAGAAAAACACAAGAAACAACCCTGCAGACACCAAGGTCAGTGAAGAGGAAAGGGGGGAGACAGGACACGCTCCAGGCACTGGACCAGAGATTCCCCTGCAGCAGAGAAGACCACGGTGAAGAAAGTTGTCCCCCTGCAGCCCATGGAGGACCCCAGTGGAACAGATATCCACACTGCAGCCTGTGAAAGGCCCCACACCAGAGGAGGTAGAGATGCCCTGAAGGAAGCTAGAGCCTGTGGAAAGCCCATGCTGGAGCAGGCGCCTGGCAGGAGCTGTGATCCTGGAGGGGAGGCCCACGCTGGAGCACTCCATGCCTGAAGGACTGTACCCCATGGAAAGGGCCCATGCTGGAACAGTTCTCCCTGTCCTTATCTGGACTCAAGATTTTTCATCGTATTTTCTCCCCCCATCCTGCTGAGAGAGCAGCTTGGTGGGCAACTGGCAGCCACCCAAGGTAAACCCACCACAAGAAGAGAGTCAAGAAGAGGTGGGAGGGAGGAAATCAATGAGAAAGCAAGGTCTTGAGGAAGTTCTGTCCTAAAATTTTCACCTTTAAAAGTATGCAAGGAGAAAAACAACTGAGGAAAAACAACAGTTTCTATTATTATACCACCTGTGTTGGTTCAAACAGCATTCTAGACTTCAACTCCAAATTCCACTTTTTTGTTCGTTTGTTGTTTTTAAACCAGTAGCTGTTTAAAAGGAATAGATCAAGAATTCAATTGCACCTTGCTTTAGAATGAAAGTGATGCTTTCGTCCTGATGCATCAATTGGATAGGGGCTACTCGAAGACTGATGTTTAGTTGACCAAATAGGATTAAGCACATAAGTGCCACTCCTAGAATTTTAACAAAATTTTTCATTTTAACCACTCACACAAACAGAATACTATGTCAAGAACCTTAAATGAAATATCTTTGGAGTTTAGATTAAAAGTTGGAATCTATATTACAGGCCACATAATTTTATTGCATCAGCTGACACAAAGTGTGGTTTGCAAGTGGGCCCACGTTAAAACAGTAGAGCTGTAAAGACTCTTCTGCATAGCATTCAAACATTAATTTTACCTTGTTTTATGTGGTAAAGTTTAAACCTATGTAGAAGCGGCACAAAGTTAAAGACTTGTACTTTCCTGTACCTGAACAATATGTAGATTGGCAATTCCAAAATTCAGTTCTCCACGCAGAAACCCAAGAACAACCCTAAGCAAGTTAAGGAACTGCAGTGCACTGCGGACCGGTTAAGATTTACAACTGCTGTTCCGTCTGCAGATCAATGAGGCAGTACAAAAGCTGGCTGGCTAAAGCTAGCTCAAGTATGACAGCACCAGTCATGGCAACGCAAGCTGCCCCTACAATTTTTGCATAGTTTATTCTGTGAGGTTTGCAATACCTAGTGTGGAATAAAGGCATGAAACATTGCCAAACAAAAAAAAACGCACTAAAATAAAGTTCACATGTATTCAATTACAAAATTGAAAATAATTCTCTAGAAGACAATAACTATGTCGCACTATTTTACTCCTCCTGGGTAAAGCCTCTTCTCCCTTGTTACCCTTGATAGAGTTGTGCTGTATTATGACACCTTTTTAATATCTTTTGTGCAGGTCTTCTATTCCATTAGTAAGGAAGTCTACATGCCAAGTTTTTTTTCTTTTTTGTCACTATTACCAGTCTGTACACTACAGAACAGTTATCTACCATCATCTTCAAAGTCTCATCATTTTACAGACATTATGGGAGTTTGTAAATTAAATATAGAGAATAAACATAAGGTCAGTATGTTTCCCCTTCAAGATGCAACAACATCCTGTGCCTGCTTAGTACATTGGAAAACTCAGGAAAAGGAACACATCAAAAGTTGCACTTCCTGCATAATTTTCAAGCTTTACATCTACACTTTAGAGATCACAGCACAAGTTTGTTAATATTTTCCTATCAGCTGCTGCACTCAGTTGTGCCTTAATTGCAGAAACAGTAACTTACATTGAAAGACCTTAAATTTGCTGGTGCTCTTCAGTGATTTCTTTAGTTAACCATAGTGTACGTGAGGGGAAAGAGAAAAGTCCATCCTCTGTAAGCACGGCTAAAACCAAGCTTTAAATCAAGAACACCAGACCATAAAATTCAAGAAAGCAGTGCTGGACTCAGTGCAAGTTCTTCTACCCTCTGCTGTAGTGTGCGATTACTAAGAAAAGTTACATGCTTATACAACTCCTTAAATGAGCATTTAAAACTCATTTTGCCAAACTGGCGGACTGCTCAACCGTCCTTTTATTCCAAAGGGAAGAGTCTAACATTTCATTATTAGTTTCAGTTAACACTACCCTGTGGTTACTGCACACAGAACAAACCCTACAAGTGGTTTACCCTAACAAGTCAGAAAACACCTTCAGATAAACCAGTCTGCAATACACATTCAGCTCTCACATGCTCAGAATCCAATTTGTGTCTTTTAGAAACTGATTTACCAGCCCTGAAACTGTTTTGGGTTCTAAAGCTTATGGAAAGGAGTCATGGGAATTACCACAATGGTTAATTATTGAAACAGAAAACTAGCGAGTACAGGGAAGTATTCCTCTCAATTTTGATTTTCAGCACTTATTTCAAACAGAAATTAACAGACTAAAGATTGTATTTATTCCAGAGTGTTCATACTGCTTTTTACCCTTTTAAAAATTACCCAGCAGACATGCAGTGGAATTTTACCTAGATTTGGAACACAGTATTGAAATATCACTTTAATGGAATTATCATCTGCTGAAACCCACAAAGAGTAATTAAGTGTATATAAATATAGAATCATTCAGCAACAAGTTTGGAAAGAATAAGCTATAACAAAGAATTAAGTATCTGCAGCCTCTTTAGTAACACTGTACAACATTGGCCAGTCAGCACAAGTTCTCCCAGTTAAATATACCTGCAAAAAGATGACTAACATGAAATCTTATGTTAACGATTTTACAAAATGCACTGCAACAGCAATTCTTATTCTGTATTACTGAATTCAGCCAATTATTTTACAACCTTCTTTTTTGAAAGTTAACTTTGAGAAAGCCTCGATACTTCGCTCAGTTCCTCGCCTCTCGGCTGTTAACAATTTCAGGACTGATTTGCAAGAAATATCTCTTATTCTTGTTAGCTTAGCAGCACCACAATTTCTCTCAGAAAAAAACAGATGAAAAGCTCATTCAAACAAGGCAGGCAAAGGTCCTTTCCCACAATTACAATGCAAGTTAGCAACAACATACTTCACTGACCACAGAATCAAGTTTTTCTTTAGGATAGACTTCTATGGCTCAAGATCTCTGGCTGAAAATAAACCCTGAGGGCTCAATATATTTTACTGAAGTCATTCTTTAAGAATTCAAGGCCTACCCCCATCCTTAGTCAATACATATCCTCAAAGCTTACTTATTCTTCCTGAAACTACAGAATACTACCCACATGATGGCTAGTATTCAGTTTTCAAATAGACACACACACAAAAGAGGAGATCATTCTTTAAATTGAGGAAGGCTTTGTTTTTCTTTTTAAAAAATTGACTTATTGTCAATCCATTTGAACTCCCTTGAAGTCTCTGTCTGCTTTCTTTCCATGAATGCTCTTCCTAATAATTTTCAGAAAGAAAATTAAAGGTCTAATATCAGCTAATCCCTACATTCTGTTACTCATGCTCACACTCTCCCCCAAAGAATTTAAAGTTCTAGTAGTAGGCAGAAACGGTCTAATCATACATATCATAGAAAATAGCTACAGCAACTCCCACTTCAAAAAGCAGGATTATCAGCCTTTATGCTTCAACCTTTCTTTATAAAGACCTAAAGGAAATCACGAGCGATACAATATTCAAGGCACAGAAATTACATATACCTCAAGAAGTTTAGTCTAAAGTAATCAGAAATTAAAACTACATTTTATACATTTAAAAAGGGATACACTGCTCAGAATACTTACCTGTATGACTGTTGAAGTGTGCAAAATTAGCAAAATTTGCTGTAGCAGTTGACTGAGGAGGAGCAGCAGCAAAGATATCCGAGCCAAGGTCACTGAGGAGGTCAAATTGTTTCTTTTCTTGTTGCTGCTGTCCTTGAGATCGAACGACAACAGGAGACTACAAACAACATTTCAATTAGCTAACACAAAAAAGCCGATATTTTACCAAACTGATTTTGCAAAATACTAGAAGGATAGACAAAGCATGTTTCTTTAACAAGCCATTTATTCCTGAAGTTTAAGATGCTGTATACAGCACAGACCCTCCTCCTCCAGTATGATGTAGACAATCTATTTATGCTACTATGGCAGCTTTTAAAGGAACTCTGCAGCAGATTTCCATGGATTAATAGGGCCCAGAAGAATAAGGTAGCAGCATATAAGCAACTTCAAAATTATGTACTTAAAATTGTAAATACTGTACAAATACAAGCAATAGAACTTAATTTCACAAGTTATAAAATAGTTATTCACTGCATTCTGAAGAAAAATTTACAATTCAGTAGAGGGAGAGAAAAATTGAAGACTTTCATAGCAAGGCTGAAAGCCGCAAATTTATACTGTTTGAATCTTAAGAGGTCCATTCAAGAGCTGCTGATATCCCAAAGGTAAAACACTTTTTCAAAAAACTGTCTTCCCTCCAAAATTTAAGTACATAGTGTTGTTTGACTTTACACAATAGCATACAGACACTCGCTGAAAGCCACTTGATAAGACAGTTACAGAATGCATAGCAAGTCATAATGAACATGTATGCTTTTAATCCATATGTTCACTACTATCTCATGGTTAACAGTAACAGCCACTTTATTGCTTTCAAATAAAAAAACAAACATGAAAATATATCACATTAGATTCAAACTTTAGAGATATTTAAGCAAAAACCAATCATAATTAAACTCGTCAATCACACTGGAAAATTCTGCTTACCCAAAATAACCACTAAAAGTAGTAAATAAATTTTGTTAATAGAAACAAGCTTAATTTAGAACCTGATCTGCAAACACCTGTATACTTCAAGAAAATACATAAAATAAAGTTGTCTTTAGCGATCACATTATTTGGTAACAGTTGCTACTGCAAGAATTCTCGTGCCACTGAAAGAGAAAAAGTACCACTGAACAGTTCTGCGCTCTTCAGTTCTGTCATGACTCACCTGGCTAGGTGTGCCCTTGTTTAAGTGCAGTGTGGGTGCAGCTTCTCCCAAGAGAGATTTGAGTGGCTTCACCTCTGGTGTGCTGCTTGTACTACTAGCAGAAGACCCCGATATGGATGCATGGACTGACGCCACCACCTTTGCTTGCTCTGGAGGAACATACCTACATTCAAAAAAGAGAAATGGTTTTTACAACTTTTCATGTAAAGTTCTGCTCAACATTCATAAGACTCAAGTGTGACAACTGGTAGATCTCAGCTCTCCTGTTCTAACCACTGACCCTGCAACAAATTCTATCGGTAGTTTGCAAAATAGCCATTATTTAAATATGACACATTTTTAAAAAAGGACTAGAATTCTAAGTCATCAATATTTTGTAGCACTTATTAAATAAAAGCCACACGTCTTCCACCTCCTAATGAAAGCCCACAAAACCCTTATTTTACACTATTGTTGACATCCCCTTAAGCCATTTCTGTTCCACCAATATGAACTAAACTGAGAAACTTATTTAAATAGTTTGTCTTCTCTGCTTCCTGTAGAAGCTCCGAATAAAATCCAGAAATCATTTTCCTTTACAGAGCTATGCAATCTAGTCCAAAGAGCATATAAGAAGGAAAGCATGCTCAAGAACATGAGGATAACAGTCCATCTCGACTTCTTGTCACAGAGGCAATCTTTACAATTGTAAAGCTATCTTACCATCTCTTCTTTTCATATTTTTCCTGTAGAAATTCCTTTACTTTCTGTGGATCCCTGAAGTCTGGAATTGCTGATGATCTATCATCAAATAGGCCTAGCCAAATCTGTTTGCACACCTTAAAAAAAAAACAAACAACCCACAGATTAATCTTAATTCAAAACCTATTTAAGTTTACAATTGTTAACACATCAAACCATTAAGAAGTGTGTGGCTGCACGTTTTTTTATTCCAGACTGAGCTGCTTTAACAACTGACTGGTGCACCATGTACTGGTCTAAATACTTAAAAGTTGAAAGACCATCTGTCACAGCAGGGCAAGCAAGTCCTAGCATCCCATTTCACCATCAAATACTGCTTTTACGAAATATTTGTAGTATGTACTCATGAAAGGGCAAAGCACCAAATTTCTACCTGTGATCTTTAAGACTCTCTCCTTCACCTAATTCTACACATTCCCTTACCTGTACTTCAGGGTTTGAAATGTTTCAACAGATCCCATATGCCATAACCCCCAGATGGTAGCTTTTAAAGGGTCTGAGGTTTAGTATTTATACTTATAATTACTATTTGAGTATAGGAACTTTTTTTTTAAACAGCCTTTCTTACCATGATGCAGTTTCTATGGTATCATATACATTTAATTTGAGTAAGGGTATGAGAGAAGGGGGAAAGTACTCTCGCTCTACTTTAATATTCTAATTGTAGTTTTGAGTGAGCAAAAGTTGAAGCAATTGCAAATGCTCAGTATGTTCAGCTTCAATTCCTGTTCAAAACAACAGAAAAGGTGACTGTTCTCAAAACTAAACAAGACATAGGAGTTCTCACACTTAAAACATTTTCTTTAAGCGCTTAAGACTACTCTGCAAGTAACCTGAATATGCACCCAAACGATACACCAAACATTAGCGACCCTCTAAAGACAGAGAGGTTTCTCCCAGAGAAGTTAAATCAAAAAAGCATTGTTTCTGTGATGCATACCATTTCTTCCCACACCCTTTCCAAAACGACCATCTCTTACATGCCTCCTACAAACACATCACCCTGTGTACCTGCTATAGGGTCAGGTTTTCATCATTGTCCCCATGACCTTCAGAGGAAGCCCTTGCTCTAACAAGTAAGAGCTGCACGAACCGATTACCCTGAAAGCTGATAAATCAAGGTAGAAGCTGTGATACTTCCACTACATCACCTTCCCCAGAGAGGTTTTCTTCTTTACCTGGTCAGCTAACTTCAGCAAAGTTGTAGCAACTTTGCCTCTCCGAGAGTGCTAGTTGTCAAATGTGACAAATCTTAGAGATCATTTCAAAGATTGGGCAGGATTAGAGAGATCAGACAGACAGCATAAGTATGTATTTCATACTCAATGTCTCTATTTTATACAGCCTGCTTGCATGTCCAATGCTCCACAGTCCTTATTTTCATCTACTGGATAGAGACAAACAACAACGGGAAACAGATCTAGCTGATCAAAGCATAGCTCTTAATTAGTGATTTTAATACTCATCTAAAAATATGATCAGTAGTTCCCACTTCAAATAAACTCAGCTATCCAGCATTCATTCAGCAATTGTACTCCACAAAAGGGTTAAGTTCAATGCCCTGATGTAAGTTTGCAAATTTAAAGTGTCATTATTTGCAGTATGGTAATAGATGACATGAAACTGAAGGTATTTGTTCAATACTTCTTCATACAAAGTTAGAAGATATAAACTTAGTCCAAAAAGTCACAGGTCTGTTCTAAAATAGTTAATAGCATGAAGCACTATTTTAATAGTAGCAATCTTTCACATAAGCACTATAAATTGCATCAGCAAAAAGTCAAAACATTTATGGGTATAGCTTTAGGTGGGCCAGGAGCAGCCTTTCTCTACTTAGTTTTGTCAATATAACTGTACCAACTAGCCGCCATTTGGCTAGAAGGGAGAGAAGTCCTGTTTGTGGCTAGTTACAGAATACCTGGCAGCAGGAGCTGGTGGTGTCCAAATCCACACAGTCTCCCCAGGCCCCCAACCCCAACTTCAGTATTGGGAGGAACATCAGGAAACACTGAAGAAAATAAAAATGTTATGCCTAATTTCAGACAAACTGAAAGACAAATGTTAGAACAGCCCCCACTTGATCCTGCACCTAGCAGAATAACCCTCAGGGCTTCACTGTGATGATCAGTTTGCATCCAGCCTAAGATGTTTGAGTGAATGAAAGAGGAAATCCTCTTCCGCACCCATATCAGGCCATTAAATTACTCCCCCTCCTCCTACCACCCAAAACAAGGCAGATCAAAGAAACTCACCACAATTCCCATGTCACTAGTACCACTGAAACTCACAGCAACAGTCAAACTACAATCCAGTTTTTCACCTTTCTCCCTCCCTGTTTTCTGCTTCATCTTCACCCTGAAATGCCTAAGCATTCAGAGTGAGGGGAAAAGAAAAAAAAAAAACCAAACACAAAACCAAAGCAAACTAACAAAAGCACCACCACCCACCCAACTCAGTGTCAAATATTCTCAAGCCTTCCTGGCCACTACAGACAATTTCTAGGAGAAATCAGAAAACAAGGTCCTGTGTGACTTTAGATCATTCACCAGCTATACAGCTATAGCAGATACCAGTTCTACGAATATGCAAACAGGTACGAAGGGGAACTGTGCTGTCCAAACACACTGTTGGTTTAAAATGATGCGAACTTCTTGAAGGCATCAATTCTTATATTGCATTGCCATTTTTGCAAACCTTCAGAAAACTGGCTTCCAAAAGTGTTTCCTGGAGCAACTAATTTCTTCTAAATGCCTAAACACAAAAGCAGTAACAACTGAAATATGCCTTAAGTCACTATTATAATTTATTTAAACAAACCTGCCAGGCACTCTTTATTGGTTCTCTGTTACTGGTAGCAGAGAGAACGCTATTACTTATGGGCAACACACAACCGCCAAGCAGAAGAACCTAGACTTGGTCACGCACACTTCAGCAAGAAGTTCTCATTTTAACAGAGCTTAACAGCAGTAACTATACAAACACAGGTTAAAACATTTACTTTACTAAACCAGAGATGCAAATTAAATTTCACGTAAGTTTCTTTACTCAGAGAAACTTTCTCAGAGAAAGTATGATTTCTTAGTAGTCTTAAATACAGACAAGCCCTTTAGAAAGCCAATTTTTATAAAGCTTTAATATCACACAAGAAACTATTAAAAGGCAGTTTTGTCTATTTCTGTATGAAGTACCACACAATGCTTTGAACATCAGCAGCCATTCCAAGCAAGCATTCAGAATACAATAAAAGGCCCGTTGTCTTTCCTTGTTTGCTGGTGACCTGTATGCTCTTTCTAGCTATACTTTTGTTGCTATCATCTGACTTGACAGGGATCCACAATACAGCATTGATTATGCTTCAAGTGAGCCATAATACACAATTTTCAGCTATCTACAAAAAAGCAAATGGTAATGTGCTGTGCAATACCAAATCAAAATTGGAAATTAAAATTAAAGAAAAAATATCAGAGACAGAACTCACATTGCCATACAACTGTAGTTCTTCAAAATAGTTATCTTTCCATAGTCTTAAAAATAAGTCACTAGCAGTACTCAATCTTGGGCAAAGAAAAGTTTGCTGTGAGAAATGTGAATATCTTTACTGATCAGGCCATCACATTTTTTACTTCAATGCTATTTAAAAGTTACTCATGATAAAGATCAAGGAAATTTACACCGTACAACTTGCTTTTGAGTCATGGTGGGGAATGATCACTCAGTATTTACATCTCTCTTACCCTGCCTACTCCCCACTAATCACAGCTTTTCAATCCACTATCTGGACTTGAGAGCACTTGAGATACTGAAAGTATAATTGTAACACAAAAAAAAAGAACTAGTGGAAGTATAGAAACAAAGCTTCAGAACAATATATTCTTTGAGAAATCTGAATGTGATATCCATAAGAGCATATATTTCAAAAGGCCCCTCTACTCTAACTAATCCATATATAAATCAGACCTCCAGAGCCGATTCAGAAAATGCTACTGCCCAAGTTTCATGATACATCTTAATCTCTATTTTAACAGAATTACTCATTGCTTTGCTTTTACAGATAACACATGAAGCAGAATCCCAACTCACTACAACATTACACAACATTACTATGCAGGTACCGGGCCTAAAAATTCTATGGCTTTCTGAAATCCTTCTACATCACACTATGTTCTTAGAGATATTCTGGTTTGGCCATTTAACATTAATATTGTTCTTTTTGCAACAGCGGCACAAATAAGCCTCTGCTCAAAAGCTCCGTTCATTCACCAAAAGCCTTGCTTACACTCCTCCTTTCGATAACGAAAGCTCTATTAAACAAAATGCTCTGCTTAGAGAAGAGCCTGGCAAGCTGGAGCCAAAAGTAAACGCTCAAGTTACGTGGAAGCCCCTAGGAACAGTGGAACATATCCAACAATCCATAATCATTGTCCACTGTCCCTGAAAAGTATAATTAGTCCACGTCCCACTGGTTCACCAATGCAGCAAGAAGAATAAAAACCCACAGCATTCAAGTCAGAATGATTAAGCGTATGCAGCATTTGAAACTCTACTTTTGTTGAAGGGTTGACAGAAGCAAGACTTTGAAGTTGTGCCTGCCTCTACTATATTGTGGAAGCTGCAAAGTACCAAGATAAAGCAAAGTTTTACCTTGTAAGGTAGCAATAAGAACACAAGATTCAGCAGTTATCTTCATGAAACGTAAAAGTTCGTGAGAATCCTTTTACAACTGGTTTGGGAAGATCAGTACCTGTTCTCTGCCAACAAGCTCCAATCTTGCAAGGGATGTCATTAGATATTTGGCAACTAGATACTGGGAAGTTCAGAATTAGATCAGTAAGTACAGCATGAAGCAAAGAGGGAAACAGAATCACAACCAGCTTCAACCTACTCACCCTGACCCAGATAAAAACCCAGGAGGTAGCAAGGCAGAAACTGTGAGTTGCCACAACTTAAATATATCACTGAAAGAAGAAATTGGGCCAAGTGTATATTGTATGTTATAATAAAGTCTTTACCTACATTTCTCTTCATACTATTGGTTTCCCTGAGTCTGCATTCAACAGCTATTCTATTTGAGGGATAA